TTGAGCAATTCGCCTCCAAAATACTAAAAACCAGCTTCCATGCAGAGTCACGTGGAGACAAGACAGATGCGACGGTCTCCTTATGGCTACTCCTCTGTGCTTCTTCACAGATAATTCATTCAGTTGAGGGAATGCAATAAACATTTTGAGTTGCTTTAACCTGATTCAAACTGGCTTGACCTTGAAATGACTAAAAGGAGATTTCACTGATGGATGTGATGCTAACAGCTTCATTTAAAATGAGCCTTTTCAGGATTGTCACCAGATTGTGTTCAACTGCTTTCAGTCACCAAGAAACCAGAAGGACTGACCACCACATTCAGGCCCAGTTTTTAAAGCTTGCGTTATCATGGTTCCACTCCCTGAATAACAAACGAAAGCCTTCACTGTGTGGCAACACATTCCCCCTGTTGTTACCTTGGGAGTTGAGTCTATTCATATTTCCTCTAATATTGAAAACAGGTGTTTTGGTTTGTGAAGACATTTATCTGAATGTCTGAGATTTCTTTGGCAAAAATGGATGGAATAAGCTTACAATTCTTCTGTGTATGTGTGTATTTGTGTGTTAGCCTGTGCACTGACAGAAACATGGAAGAAACTGGTTTGTAATACGTAACCAAATGCAAAAAGAAGTTTTATAAATTGAACATTAGCTTCTAAATTATATACACGATTAATTTAATAATTAATCTGATAGAAATCTAATTTCAGATGTAATCATTTCTGAATTCTTAGTTACCTTGTTTAAAATGAATTAAAATTGATTTTTTAATGTAATGACCTGACTGTGATCTCCAGCCATATCTTATCAGGAGTAATGTTTAAAAAGTGATCATAATGTTAAAATTGACAGGAATATGAAAAGAAAAACAGAAATAACAACCATTTTGACCAACATGGCTGCACATTTCTCAAAACATATTATGTGATCTAAAGACACAAAGAGGTGTTTGGTTTTCATTTGGCTCCACCACTGATCTTCCTTGAGGGGGGAAAACAACCACAAAAGAACCTGATATGAATTGGAAACCACAACCCAGTAATTTAATCAGAGCAACTAAAATCAAAGGAGGCAAAAGTTCAGGATACGAATGCAATGAAACGGATCAGTTCCTTAGAACCTCCTGACATAGCTCACTTGTGGAGGAGCAAGCCTCGACAGAAAGGGCTGAGTAATGAAGATGGATGCATTCTGTTATCAGGCAGCCACTTACTGGGGCCTGATGTAACCTTAAACACTGAGGATAGCTCAGTTGCACAAAGAATCTAATTAATGAATAGCAGCCATGAAAGAGGACAAGGCAAGTGTGCATTTGCAGATGAATTCCAGACACTAATCAAACGCTGTTCAAGTGGTTTGGTTTGTCTCCAGAGCATGGCGATATTTGGCGAGGGTTTAAGGCAGTGTTTGCATGCTGGCTTGATGACTGTATACATGCTTTAGTGGTTTTAGCATGGGTCTGCTTGCATATTGCAAGTGTTTTAACTGCATATAAATGTGTTTGTGTGTGCGTGTGTGTTTATATGGCTTTGTCTTCTGTTTAAATGTTAAGTGTTTTGTACAGCTTTTGAAATTCCAAGCCCGAGGTTAACAAAGGACAGAATGTACAGAACAGGTGTGGAGTTGCATTACTGAGTTTGTTCCATCATTATGGGTTCGTGTGCTCTCCATTGTACGTTCACACTACTATTATTAGGATTTCTGTAAAACTTGTCCTGTTGGCTCCATAACTCAGTGTATGTTTAACATTTTTAAGTGAAAAAACACATTACATATTTAACCAGTGACAACTAAAGTTTGCCCACTCTTTTTAAAATGGCAAACACCAAAATTAGCAGGTATACAAGCAGGTTTTTCAAATGCTGGTCAACACATTAAAAAGGCGGTTGACTTTTCACACACCGTCAGTTGAGGAGTTCTGTTTTTTTCCCCCAGTGAGTCATGTACAACATCTTGCCGGTATTGCAGTATTCTATCTATCTTGCCTGATATGACGAAAAAAAATAACAGAAGTACACAAACGATTGTCAACACCCAGAAGTTGGTTGAGCATCATAAAAACACACTGGAAAAATGCAGCGTCAGCATCAAAAATAAAAGAAGAAGAAATTTGGGTCCTTTTCTCCATTAAAATCACCCCCCCCCCCAAAAAATCACCCATTTCATATATCAATATCAACATATACCCATCAATATAATACTGTTGCCCTGGATCTCACAAAGCTTTAACAGGATTCTGCCATCACATCTGCTCTCTGTTTCACACATTTAAATTGTAACTGCTCGTTAATTAGTGTATACCCCTCTACTCTTACTTCCGCCACAGGATGCCCTGATGTATCCCACCCACTCATTGCAAAGCTTCTGTGCTTTGTGAGCCATTAGGTGGGTCCACTGGATAAATAATACTACATCACATTTCTTGGATTTAATGAAAATTAATACTTCCCTCTTCTTAACTATATTGTGGAATATAGGGAGGAAACTTCTGGTCAAAGATTGGAAAATCATCTTCGGTATCTTCACTATCACTGTGGCTTATCTCTCTTGGTAACCTGGCTGCCCTAGAATGATTATCTTATAGACTACTTGATAAGTCAGAAGATTGAGACTTGAAATGGGGGCTGTACCACTCATATATCTGGCAGTTCTGGCGCATGCAGCTTACAAATATAATCTTTGATCTATATTGAATAATTACCTGATATGTATCTACTCAAAGACATATTTCTGTAGATCTCTGGTTAATTTGCTGTAAACTTCTACACATTAAATGCAACACTGCTTGTTTTTAATGTATCTTTATTTTGCTATTACAATTATTCATATTATTGATATACTCGGGGATATCAATGTACATATTTCTTTGTTTACATGACATGCTTTTGTTGGGTCTCGTACTGGGTTTTGGTTTTTCCTTTCTTCACTATTCTAGGTCATTTTGATAAACCCCTTGTGACAGACATTTGTGAAGTTTTTTTGCCATTGTGAGAAAATATTAAAGTACTTATCACAAAGAAAAGATGAAAGATTTAGTGAGTTCACATGCATATAATGTTTTCATCACTGGCTGTCAAAGCTGATAAAAACTACCGAAGAGTCATTTGACCGGGGAATGAATGCTGATTATATTTATTCCCACTGCAGACAAACACCAAATGTTGGCGACTGTTAGTGGTTTTGTTGACTAGTGTAAAAAAGAGATCTTATTATCCAATTTTATAATATGTGGGTTGAGTTTGCAAAACAAGTAGTCGTAAATTGTACATTTTTGAAAAGACTGTACACAATCTTTACACATCTGAGTAAGATCCACTCCACACTCATTTAGAAAACAAATCTAAGCACTGTGTATTGTCAAGTCGTTAGACGTTAATTGGGCCAAATCTTTTCACAGTCGGTAAAGATTTCAACAAGACTAAGAGTTGTCAAAGCCTGGTTCCACACCTCGAAATCACTGCTCATAACTGTTGTTTGTAAGGCAGCTCAAATAGCTCTGGTGTCGTGCTCATTAACAACTATTTCAGTCAGTTGAAGATACAGTCAACCACTCAGAGATTTGTAGGAGGGAGTAAGAATGGTTTTGCCATCTTCCTTCATAGCAAGAGCTCAATCCATGGAAACAACCATTAGAAATGAACTGCTGGAAGCCTGGATGAGGCGTTTACAGGTGTTCAAACACGTTTTGTCGTTGTTTAAAGTTAACACATTATCATATTCCACTTTAATTAGTATTTTTATAACAATAAAAATCAAATGACAATATGAAAAACAATACAAAACGGATCGCCTGTAGTGATGAACAGAGAACTATCACCTGAATCTGCAACTCACTCAGCTTCACATCAAGACTAGTGAGTTTCAGCTCATTGTTTTAGTTGACACTTAAATGAACCTTCAGCAGTTTCCCACAAACACCACTCAAAATTAATGATAATGTTGCTCTTTAATAGCTGAATGTGTAATTAATAAATTATATAGCAACCGCTGCAGCTGATTCAGTGTAAACAGAAGTTAATGTCAGCAGGGCTGAAGTGTCACTAGGTGCAGATTGGTTGGGGACAAAAAATAAACCCTCCCAGCAAGACATCAGCTATAATGTCAGACTGACTAAGCCCTGCATGAAGAAACTCATTCATTTAAATTAAGCCCATGCAACAAAACACTGGATGTGCCAAGACTCAACTCAATTTTTGCTGCAGCATCATCCGTCAAGGTGGCCAGTCAAACACATGCAAGCACAAATTCTTACAAGCTCACTTTGTAAACTTGATCTGTTTCTTTTTATTTACACTTCACTGTCTTGATGAAAGATAAAACAACTCAGTTGTGAAATCCTGTGTCAGGGAATTGCAAAATGAGGTGCAGATTTGTTTGAACTGAACTACCTTGATCATATTCCATTGCATCACAGATGATCACACCCGCAAATACAGCTGCCAGCTAAGCATCTGAAAGCATGTTGTACTTTGGCACTTAAGACGAATGATATCAGGCTAACATGCTCACCACCACTCTAATATAATGGTTGCTATTGTTACCATCTTAGTGTACTAAATTAGGTATTTAATTATATAATTTCACGTTTTCACAGTGTTAGCACAGTCGCTTCATAGCAACAAGGTGTGAATGTGAGTGTATGATGGCCCTGTGCTGACGACCTCTCCAGGCTGTACCTAGTCCACTTCTCACAGTGTCAGCTGGGATGGGCTCTACCTTACCAAGGGTATAAGTGGTATAGATATGGATTAGTGGATGGATGGACTTTCAACTTAACCATGCCATTACCTTTACAAGTATTTGATGAAACTCAAACAGTCTTCTGATCGACTCAATGACCAACATCACAGCTACAACTCTCCATTCTGTTGCTGGCTTTAGTTTCTCTGCATCTTAAACCAGAACCACTTAGATCAGAATCAGCTTTATTGTTTTGATATGACTGAACATTAAGATTGTGTGAATTCAAAAGGACTTGTGTTTTTCTCCTCTCACCCAGTACCAGCTCCAGTGGAGTTCTCCATGGCGCTCGGTGAGCTTCCGGTGGCAGACGTGGCTTGTGCTGATCACAGCGTTTGTTTTGCTGGGTCTGGTGCCGTATGTCGTTCACTGCATGATGACCGTCTTCACCAGCCCTCCACCTCCCAGCACCTTTAAAGTGGCAGCAGCCTCTTTTGGTCTGCTGACAGAGATCCTGCTCATCAAGTGAGTATTGGAATTTTGACTCTGTACTTATTACCCTTCGTGTACTTGAAGTAGTTGAAGTACCCTTGGTCTGATCTTTGTATAACTTGGCGAGCGCAATCAGAATGCCGATGATTATGATGAATATGACGACAATGGTCTTTCCACTCTGGTTATATTCTGGTCTTAGATGTGTTTTCATTTTCCAAAAGCAGACAATATTTTCAAGAAATATTTCATTTTTATGTGAGTTTCAAAACAAGGAGTGGCGAACAAACATGTCACCCTAATAACCTCTGAAAACATGTTGTTGTCCGACTCTTAACACCCCCCACCCCTCCTGTTTTCTCTTAGTCTTCTTTCCCATTTTGATATTGCTAATTGGAACAATGCCTGCGGTTCTGTAAACCATTAGTAAATGAACAGCCTGTTTTTTATTAACATCTACCTTGTAAATAATACATTAGATTCCTGGCATAAACAATATCTACTCTGTGATTAGAAAGCAACATATGATGATTACAGTAATCAGATTACTGACACAGGTTATGTAATCTATGATTGCCTAAAGCAGTGACTCAATCAGGCTGCACATCAGTAAACATACCTACTGGATTCAGGGCCAGCCCTAAGATTTTGGTGGCTCAAAGCAAAATATGGCACCAAAAACCCTCTTACTGCATCTAATCACACACACTGCTCATAACCTAATGAACTCACACACATGCACACACACTCGTGTCAGTGGAGGCTGTCGGACAGAAGGCTGTGGTACCTCTATTATGACCTCTGCAGCTGCACTCACGTCAGACGAGGGAGCAGATGTCCCTGAAGTCTCTCACTATGTTTCCTCAGTAGCAGTCATGCTGATGAGCTGCTGATGGTTCATCAGAGGTTGCCCCCCGCCCCCACCCGAAAAAGATTAAACATGATTTAAAGATAGGCAGCATAGATATGTTGCATGTATTTATCTTCCAGACATATTTTTTACCCACAAAACCAATGCATATTTATCCAAACTATTCGGGGCACAGTATGAAATGTATTATGATAATAAGTTTAAACAGAAACACAATGTTGCATGAACATTGGGAATCCTTCATCAATTTTTAATGGTGATTGCAATTCTACTTATGTTTGCCATCATATTAAGAACTGAAGCTTGGTCCACTGAAAAACATTTTTGCTAAAATGAACTCCGTATTTATTTGTCCCTAGCCAGCTCACCAGGTTAAAATTAATTTAAATGTGGCAGTGTTCTATTATTTATTAAAAAATGTGACGTTTCAAGAAAAGCACCTCATTCAGACTCATTCCGTCAGAATCAATTCTCTCAGGAGTCATTTCTGTAATTTGTTTTTATATAATCACAATAAGTTGTAAATGGTGCTGCTACTGAACAACAGAACATATGTGATTCGTCACATTGATCATTTTAAACAACCAAAGAGACTGACCAGCCCTGATCAGTTCACTGAGAATAAACAAATACTAGAATAATACTTCTAGTAGTATTTCTGTAACTAAAAGCACATTCTTGATGTGATTTTAGTGACTGACCTTACTGAACTGAATTCTGGGAAGTAGACAAGCTCCCCTGTTCATAATATGATGCTAGAAAGTAACCCTCCAATAACCTTAAACTCCTTTTTCAGGCCAATAGCAAAATGAAAACTTGCGTGCTACATCTCTGCTTCCTCCAGTATTTGTCTTAACTAAAACGAGAGGCTGTTTGTAATTAACTCTACAAGTCTCGTAACTTTTTTCCCCCCATTAACCGCCTTTGCAAGGAATGTGGCTAGTGAACTGGTAATTAATAAATATGGTTGCGCTGGTAATGTGCTTCTGCATCATTATGTTGTTGAAGCCCTTATCCACGCTAGTAATGAGCTGTAATTTTCTGACAGGAAATTGGTTTGTTTACAACAAGTTCAGCAGCCACAGCAGACAAGCTGCATTCTCTGCACATCTCGGCTGCAGGTATTTACTCCTTGTTTGAGTTGAAAGAGGTTCAGATATGTTGTCATGCTAACAGTCATACTATTAAAATAAAAACACTGTTAATGTTTGCGAGTCATTAAAAAGAAGTAGATAAAATTATGATGTTGTTTTGAAAGATAAAAGCTTTATAATACCATGCCATAGATGAAGTACATTATGTTAAATGGATAACAAACGGTCATCAAATAATATAAATACTGTACATTCTCGGCTGTGCTGTGGCGGTATCCCACTGCACCAAAGGGGGTTGCTGTCAACTGATGCTTAAATGATTGCTGGTACAGTCGGACGGTTGGTGGGTGCCCTTATTAGAATTGGGGCCCCACAGACTCAAGCCCCATGGTGCCTGTGCTGCCTGGGACGTGCCAGCCTCCTGCTGCCCCTTGTCAGGGAGCATCTCAGTCACTCTTCAGCCCCAGGGGGGAAGTCCTTGTACGGCACAACCCCCTCGTCTCTCACCCCTACACACACACACACACACACACACACACACCCTGTGAATCTCTGAAACACGGCTTTTAGACAAAGATAAACAAGTGAGCAGTTGGGAGTGACTGTGTTGTGCACTCGTGGTCATTTACACTGACTCAAGGTAACATGCTGTAATGCCTGTGTAATGGCAGGGGGGTGAAGCATTTTGTTACCAACCCAGTGACTAAACCTCTCTGTAACCTGTTGTCAGTTGCTATGGCTACAACACCTCAGGTTTGCTCTACAGCAATTAAATATGCATATGAAAATTTATGACAGGACATGATCCGTCTAAATGTGATGTAATATGTTATTTGTAAAAATATAATTCCAACATAATGAGAAGTTATGGTCATTTTGTTGACCGGTGCAGTTTTTATCTCCTTTACTTCTTTAAATTGGAAATCCACTGATTATAAACAAAAGTGTGTTTCCAGGAGTACCTCTCCCTGAAAAAAGGTGCATCAACCTGACTTATCTTATTCTTCAGTGTCATAACAACATTGTTTTAATAAACATCACAGAGACACATCATGTCAGCACTTAATCCCCCAAGTCTATGAAACCCTGGTTTCCTTTTAACATTTTGAACCTTCAAAATAATCTTTTCATCCCTCCTCCTCTTTTTGCAGGTCTGTTACTGGAAAGATTCACAAAGTCACATGACATTTGTCAGGCTCAAACTACCTTTCCAAAGGCTGCCACACAATATGTGCCCTCTCCTTCCTTTACTGTCATGTCAGGAGTCGCGGAGCTGAGACAGTGCCCTGACCATGCAGCTCTGCACTGTGAATTTTTATATGCCACTGCCTGGAGGTTAGAAACTCTCATTATGCCGTGTTAGATTTATTAAAATAGATTATGGAAATGTTAATTAAGTAATTAATTACATTATTTAAGCAGCATTGACAGATAAGGGAGTGTGTGTGTGTGAGTGTGTGTGTGTGTGTGTGTGTGTGCGGGGAGGGGGGTGTCAAGCTCCCTGGGTGGTTTAAAAGGATGTGATTGGTGACAAGGGACACTGTGGAGATGGCGTCTAACCGCTAGCGCTGACATGATACAAAGTGGCCTACACTGCTCTCTCACCTCACGCTACTGTCTGCTGCAGTTTGCAGAGCTGCCTCAGGACGAGGCGCTTAGCTGCCTTTTGCAGATATAAGTCTGCACAAGCGTACAAATGTGCTTTTTCTGAAGTTACAGCTGCACATACGTTTGTGATTGTGTTTTTTTTAAATTTGGGAGAGAGAGCACAACATTTTCCACTTTACATTTTCCTTTGTGTGAACATGTGAGCAAAGCATTAGCTGTGACATCTGAGCAAAGGCCTCAAACAATATTTCCAAGCTGCTCCAAGTGAAAACACAGCAGCACAATTGTAAGATGAATTACCCACAAGTTGATACTATGGACTCTCTTATCTGTTGACACTTTAGTTACCACAAAGCACAAGAAATGTGTTTTCCAATTCTCTCAGAATTGAGCTTTTCTTTGTCCCATCAAACCTATATTAAGGGAGAGAAAATTGCTCTGATCACACTTGATAAGAACAAATGATAGATGTTGTAAACAAGCAGAATGGTTCAATTCTGATCTGAGGCATCGATTTGCCTCAGTAGACAATTATTTCGTGGACTGAGGTTATGCATCCAGTCAATCCGCTGCAAAAAGGGCTTTTGTGTTTGGTGTCCAGTGTATTGCTTTGTAGCAAACAGCTCCTGAACATGTTAAACCATTGAAATACAATGTGTTACTGAATATTCCTTATAGAAAAATACATGTTGAAATAATGAAGTTCTCCATTTCTCTGGTCATCCTTCACGTTGCCAGGCGGAACTGAAACGTTTCAGTATTAATATTAAGTGGCTACCCAATAAAAAGATTAAATTAAAGTCCACCACATACAATGCTGTTGGTGTGACCCAACATGAAGAATCTATGAAAAACTATACCAATATATATATATATTGTAATTTCTGTATAAGATGCAGAGACTGAACACTAATATTCACCAAGTAGCAGAAGCGTGACTCCAAATGATGCTGATGCTAGTCCAGCTCTAAAAGCAGGGATATAGTAGTCAGAAATGTCCATCAACTGTGGAGCCACGGGAAGCCTTTAATATATATTCTGCGTGTTTTGTCCTTCCAACACAATTGACATTCATAACATTTAGAATATAAGAAAGCTTCACATTATAGCGAATGTCTGCTTGTTGTTTTGGTGTTATGCCTTCACTCCCATTGTTGGTGGAGACCAAAACAGAGTTAATATGAGTGAATACTTGACTGGTGAATAACATGCCAGTGATGGGTGTGGTCCTTGTTCTGTTGTCCCCAATTTTATAAAAATCTGTTACATATTGAATATTTTGTAATATTTTGGCCTGAAGCACTAAATTATACCCTTTGGCTCTACTTTCCAATATTTGTCCTAAACTGTGATCTACCATATATGTGATTATTAACTGTAAGGGCCTCAATATACTGCAATAAAAAAATAAAAAGAGACAGTAGACATGCTTGCATGGAAATTGGAAAGGAAGGCCTCAGTTTCTCACCTGGACAAGAGGAGGTGGTCAGTGAAATGTATTCATGCAGCAACTTTGTTTCCTCTAAAATATACCTGGTAAAGCACATTAGCATTATATGTGCATGTTATTGATTGAAAGTCTTGACATATTGTTTTATTCCATTGTGCAGGTTGTAATTTGACGGGTTCAAACATCAGACATCAAATCTTGGTCTGAACAATGCACTTACATAAATATATATACATATAGTATATTTTACTCTTGGACAACATGGCCTCTTCCTAAATATGTGGAAGGACTATGCCTGTATGGTCACATCATGTCAGGAGGTTAAGCAGCGCTCAGAGGTTCCCACATACACTTAAACCTTGGTTAATGGGAGAAGAGGGATTTAATAATGAGATTAGGATTATGTTATTATACAATATTTGAGATGAAGTGTGAATGTACATAATTGGACTTGCATGACAGAAATATGTGGGATGAGGTGGTCAGACTCCACAAATCTGCTCTCTCCTGATGTTTGTACCTCGATTGTGTTTTCTCAGGTGTCTGTCAAGCTACCTCAGCAGTCGTTACCGGCAGGCTGAGCAGAGCTCCTTCACAGTCCGGGCCAGGGGCTCTGAGGAAGACAGAGCGAGCCTGGGCCTTCGGGATCAGTCCGAGGCCACTTCAGCAGCGGCAGGTCACGCTTCATCAACGGCCGCACCCAGTCAAGTGGACGCGAGGAAAGTGGATGTGTTGGAGAGTGGCTGTCTCAGCCTTTTCTAAACCACTCACAGGAGTTTACAAAGTAGAGAGCCAGAGTAAATCCTTAGGGTATTAGCTGTGTCTAACAGCCATTCAAGGAAACACATCAGTTTATCAGTGTCATTGATGAAATTTTACACTTTTGGAGCTATTTATAAAGTCTCAAATGTTCTTGTTTTTCTCAATGTCAAAACTTTGCACTTTATTCAGTGAGTCTATTCTCACATATTGCAAATTGAAGATAAGGCACAAAATGCACGAGTGCTTGAGTGTGTTCAGGCTCAGAGAGGGAAAAAAGGGCTGAAATCTCGCTTTCCTTAATGATGCCCACACAGAGACAATGGGGCGCCGCTCTGATTAGTGTCACCTGTCCTTGTGCATCTCATCAGCTCCATTATGGCTTCATCTCCCATGCTTCTTCTGCTAATTGAATAGCCTGTAAAGTGGTGACGAGGACGGGGGCGAGAGCAACGTCTGTCCCAGCGCTGCTGCAGAAATGAGAGTAAAGCTTCCTAGTGAGACACGAGCTCCTAAAACATAAACCATTATCATACAGATGGAGAAAGTGCCAACAAGTAGCCCTCATGTTATATTACCATCACATTATCAGTATTTTCATATGGAACAGCTTTCAGTTTGCATCTACTGTTTTGTGGGAGATGCAAAGCTGCACTTTCTTTTCGTTATATCAGACAAGACGTTAATTTTTGACGTAGCAGCAAGACGCTTACCAATGTTTTTCATGTTATACTACTACAGATATAGATAACAGTTCAAGTACAGAGAACTGGAATATTTGGTTAAAGCCTCTGCATTTGTTGTTTGTCAACCATATCGTATATGTGAAAACCAAAATCAAAACGTGACATTGTCTATTGACTCACAGCCACTGTAACTGAAGATGTAAATATTTAAAAATTATCATGATATATTTTTTAGAATTTCTCCAAGGCAAAACATTTTCCCAAAAATGCTGAGCACAAATTCTTTAGTAATGGTACGTCCTTTTTTCTAGGGGACTATTTTCAGCCGTGGATTCATACACATTTGCTGCACTAGCGAGTATTTATATGCAGCGCCATATGACACAGGTGATTAGACCACATTCATATCTTTACCACTTTCTGTGTTCGCTGTAGTAAAGCTCCATATGTGTATCGGCCACCACGGCCAACAAACTAAATTCCAATTGATCGTATGAATCAACTTTAACAAGGCACTCAAGAAGAAGATAAACTGAGTCCAGCTCCAAAAATGTTACATCCTACATTAACTAATATGCAAACAATAGCTTCTTTATTGGCCCTTCATGCTCAGTAAGTAGTTGTTTGTGCCACAAGCTTTTTGTTATGAATCTGGAATCTACATGTAGACATCTCCTCCACTTTATACAAAGTCTGTGCTGTAAATAACTGTGTAACTCTGTAAATACATTTCAGTAGGGAACATTTCTGTATATTAAACATGTTGAATAATCAAAGGCTGTGATACTATAAACCATCAATAACTTTGCTATTCAAAAAGTTTGGAAACAAATAAAAAGTGGGGCAGGCCTCAATGTGATGTTCACTGTGAATGATTTCAGGTCTCTCTGTGTTTAGTGAAAATAAAATATTTCTGCAAAGTTCTGTAAAGAAAACCCTGCTACAAAAAAGCAGTCTTTTATTTTGATTGGATAAACAGTAGCGTCTGTGATGCAGGGCTGAAGTGTGGGTGCCTCTCCTGCCGGGCTGCAGCTCTGCTCATATCTGCATGTGCCTGAGGCTCAGCCAATGTTAAAAGATCCTCCTCACTCTTCTCTGCTCCTCTAGCCCTGAGATCTGCTGGCTTATCCTGCCCAGTCCCTTTCTGTTTCACCTCTCGGTCACAGCCAAGTGACTCTCAGTCGTGCACCACCTCAGCTTAGGGACTTTCTATGGTCAGAACAGAAGACGCACAGCAGTATCTCACTGCTGTATCTGGTAAATGCCACAATAACAGGCCTGTGCAGGCTTCCCAGTGTCCCTATGCCTGCATGGTTCCGGGGCTTAATGTGTGCGCGTGAGGGGCCAGATGGACACTTTCATGAGTGTATGAGTGTGGATTATTCCGCCGACAACATCTGGGGCTCCACATGGTACAGCAGACTGCAGTAAGACAGGCAGGTGGGCACGTAGAGAGTGTGCCCCTCCAGTGGGTTCTCTTACATCCATACCCACCGACAGGGCATCACCGCAAATGGCAAACTGAAAGGTTACAGGACCATCCTGCAGGACAAATGCTCCTCTGGATCCTCAGACTCGATGTCCTTCTCCCTGTGCCAGCAGCAGCCTACTGTTTAGTGTCCTACAGCTTGAAAATATAGTCTTCATTATGTTATGTTTATTTAGAAACAATTTGGGGGTGCGGCGTCTTGCTCAAGGACACTTCGACATGGGGACAAGAGGAGCCAAGGATTGGACAACCACTTCTGTGATTAATAGCCCACCTACTCTACCATCTGAGCTACAGCTGCCTATGATATGAGCGCGGCACTGCCATATTATCACATTAGGTTCTGATTCACAGTTGTCACTGTTGGGGTTAAACATGTGGATCACATGACAATGTCGCTGTAAAACTGCATTTTACTTGCGCTGGAGCAATTAGTCAATTAGTTGATTAATTAAGGGCAACAACGAGCAAGAGCAAGATAAAAACAATTACTAAATTAAAAACAAAGTTTGTTATTTAAAGTATCAGAAGTAACATTATAGGCTACTCATAATTCAGATCTGTTACTATTGTACTATGCTGCATATTGTCATCACATTAATGAATCATTATAACTGACATATTAATGTGAAAGGGTTCCAGTCATAGGAATGTTTTCTGGTCCTTGTCTTGAGATGTAATGTTTTCATCTGTGAAGAAAAAAAAGAACTAAACTAACACAAAATTTGCTATAACAAGAAAACAGTTTCAACATTGCCAGAATGAAGCCATACTGCTATAACAATTTGCTGAATAATGTTTTCTCTATTCTCTTAATATTATGACTTTTTTCTTGGTAAATTCCAACATTATTCTCATGATATTACCACTTACTTCTTAATTATGACTTTGTTCTTGTAATATTACGATATTATTCCCAAAATCTAAAATTGTGTTTTCTCATAAAGTTGGCCAGATTAAATCCAGATCAAATACTATAAAACCACTTTTAAATTTAACTTGACTAAATATGCCTAATTATACATAATCTTCAAATCAAAGAAGTTATATGGATGGCCGGAGAGAGTGGAGGGTCAAGGGGAGGTTGGTCCAGTACACTACACCATGACACCTCTGGAGCAGACACCAATATAACACTGGTACAGTATGTGTTATGGTCACAAATATACCTACAAATTGCTAGTTACTTTTTGTAAAATACACAGTGAATTGTGTCAATTTAATTCACAAACTGCACTGGGCATGCTCAAAAAACTCAACCCAAACTTATCAATGCTCCACACTGATATTAGATTGAACTCCAGCCAGGGCCTTTGTGAAATCAGAGCTCATTAGACGAGTCCACCTCATAATGAGTGGCCAGATCCACCAGGAGAGATAAAGCCCCTGCTCAGCGCTGACTGAGATCCAGTCAAACACACCCGCAGCGCCTCACACCACATGTGAACGAGATATTTGCTTTGAAGCAGCAACACACAGATTAGAACCAGCGTGTCAGAGTGCCAAATGTCCTAGGCTGTGAGTGACAGGAGATCTGCTTTAGAGTTGGCTACCTGTTGAGGAGGATTAAACAAAATACAGATGGTATTTACATATTAAACAAACAAAGGCACTCTCTGTTCTGATGGAGACAAAAGTGCTTTCATCAAGTGAAGTGGTTAAAAGCAGAAAGCAACAGATTCACTGTTCATTAACTGTAACACATCAAATCTTTACCTTTTCACGAAACATCAAAGTTCTGATCTTTTCATTTCTCACATCCGTTCGTCACGATTGCCATGCCGCTGATATGTAAGTCATACATGACTATTTTTCTGGCCTGCGATAGAATCACATATGACCCTGAGATCACCTCTGAAGGACGAAGGCTGCTGAGTGTCCAGCCGCGTGGCCGGGGCCGTCAACACAACACGAGTGTGGCACGGTCTGATCCACTGCGGGTCGAGTCGAATAAATTAAGTGAATTACCAGCTGCCTCGTGCAAGCTCTCGGGATGCAGGGTGGCATGAGCACGCCATTACAACAATGATAAGGATATCTGCCTGGCCTTGTGTTAAAGGAATTACGCATAGCATCCAGAGCCTTTAAGAGAGTCTGACAGTTTTGCGCACACTGGCAAGTTAGTATGACATGAAAATGTGTGCGGCTGCAGAACAACTCGGCTGCTGCCCAGCCTGAGTCGGGGGCAATGCTCGGTTGGCTTGCTGAGGAGTAAAAAAAAAATAAAAAAGAGATGTGCTATAGTGATGCAAATGGACACAGCGTTGTGCTTAAACAATGCATTAATGTGTGTCTCTTGAGAAGATAACATTACAAGATGCACAATAACACAAAATGATGTCCTCTGAGGTTATTTAAAGCGATGTGACATCACATCCTGACATTGCAAGAACTCCTTACGGCCTGTCCAACTGCTTTTGTGTGCGGCTTTGATAAAAGCAGATGAAGGATAGAAGGCTGGGTCTGAACCCCATCCACCATACGGTGGAAGGCCATTTACATAATGTTATGTATATCGTATTCTGCTCCCTTCCAATGTTTGAACGTAAACTGAATTAAAGACTTTATACGCAAACACGGCACAAAGTGTTGTAGCTTAAACACAGGACACGTGGCAAGGTGTCCGATAACTTTGTCTTCCACCTGTAATCTGATGCTGCGCAGAGAGGAGGGATCGGCCTCACTTCCGCAGGGTGATTTATGATTGAGGACATGCTAATAAAAATATCAAAACTATCTGAGCTCTGGTGGGGGAGATACCGGTCCACTACGTACATCATGCTTGACAGGCCTGTGCAGGAAATAGCCTGCTCTGTTATATTATGCTTGTATGAGTGCCCGTTGCCCTTCTCTTGAACACAATATGCAGCTGTTGTTTGGTTTTTCTGTGAGGGTCAGTGGGGGGAACACTGCTCACACAAGGTGACATTTACATGAGCATATGCTCCTCCTAGCTTGACAGGTGAGGCATTTTGAAATCATCGTCCAAAAGATTCCGATTCAGACAACTGTCCCAGAAGGGCAATTAGTTACAACATCTAACCCATTCATGGGTAAAACGGAATAAATAAATTAGTAGCCACAATCAGACATCAGCGAGACAAGTGCTCAACTCGACATAAACAACAACAACAATCAACAATTGTAAGCATGTAGTAGCTTGATAGCAGAAGTAATAAAGGATTTAGAGGAATTAGAATAAAGGAAATAATAATCATTTTATGAGCTGGCACATAATAGCGTGAGGGCATGACAGATAATTCCCTCAAGAGTAAATGTGAGTGAGTAAATTATTTGCTTTCTGGACCACTCAATTGTTCCAGAGGGGGGCATGGTCCATTTTGCTGCACTCCGATAATCCTTTGTCTTTCTCAGACATGAACCAACGCATTTAAATGTTCAAAGACTGTTTAAAGGTACATAAAATGTTTTAAAAAAATTTAAAAGGAGTTTAGCTTCAAATAAATACAACTGTATTGTTTGGTCTCAGTGTAATCAGTCTTTGCATCAAATTTAGGTTGTGAGTCAAACACTGTCTCTACAATTTACACCTCTTTGCCATGTATGATGGTCTGAATCTGCACTTCAGGAGTCAGGAAAAGCTTTTCCTACTTTAAAATACGGTGCCAAAACTTGTATGAGTTCAATTTGATTTGAAGCTATACGGGTCACTTGCCCTATGATAGGACAGTGACTCTGTGCTATCAAATTACAGCCAGTGGCACAGGACAGAGGAACAAGCTGCCCATACTGAATAAACACTCCTCCAAAATGTGTCTCACTAAAGGATTCATATCCAAACTCAGAGGAGTAACACATTCCAAATATTAATTAAAAGCCTCCAATGACTGCATGAAAAGATGAAGTGCTGTGGTAACTTCTCACACAGATCCCACACACTCTCACACACTCTCACACACACTCTCTCACATTCACCTTTGATGGATTTATATCGAGTATGGGCGTGGACGCAGAGTAATTTAGTATGTGTTAAAAGCCGCTGCAGGGATGTAGCCTGTAATACTCACTCAATTCCACTTCCAATATCACTGTTTGTGAAATCTCAATGATTTTCTGTCTTGGTGTCTTGCCCGAGCACAAAATCATCCACAAAGTACACTGTCAAAAATGAAAATGTTGTGAAACGTGAAATCCACTGCAAACATCAGCCCCATCAGCCCCGGCAGAGCCAGCAATGTCGTCAAAGTGTTACACTGATGCAGTTTTAGGCCTCGATAAGTGAATCAAACACATTGCTGTAATAATTTGCCTGTTGTCAAGTGCTCGTAACACAGCAGATTGTACAGTTCAGTGACCTCATCGTGCAGTTTCTCTATGTATGGTAGTAAA